CAGGTGGCAGGATCTGTGTGAACACTCGCTGAATAAGAAGTAGAGGTGTGATGTGCCGAGCTAGTTCAAAGGAGGCACCCTGTTAGGGAGGAGGGGCTGCACAGAAAGGCTTGTGCAGAGGGGCCTTGGGAAAGGCACAGTCTTGGCAAGCCGATTTTGAAACTGTAAAACAGCATGAAAGGATGGTCTCTGCACAGGCACCAGAACAATAAAAGAAGTAAGACGCCACCCATACTCCTGCCATTCTGACACGGCGGGTAGAACCCTGTGTTCTGTAGCGGTGTTGGCCTCAAGTTACCGGCAAGGCTGGTGGATAGTTCAAACAGAACTGCACCTCGTTAAGTTCACCAGCCGAAAGTCACTCATTTCCATCTTTGCGTTAAAGCTGAGGCCTTTTGGGGAGGAGAATGAGGAGGCCGGCCGCTGAAGTCAGTGATATTTTTCTGGGTTGCCACCACGCTGAGGTTGCTCTGAGCAGATGTACAGGTTCTGCCACTCCCCCGTGCTCTCATTTTCTGTATTTGGATTTGTGGGATTTCAACAGATCCATTTCAGGGCAGAGGATGGCACTGAATGGGAGAATCCATTCAGTCATTGCTTCAGCAACCGACTGAGCAGGTGTGCGAAGGCAGCAGAAAAACCGGAAGCTTTCGACTCACCGGGGTACACTGAGAGGCGCGAGTTGCAAAGGCGGCAGGTACCCCGCGGCTTGGGTTCACAGGTTCACGTGGAGAAGGGCCTAGAGTGCCAGGCCAGGACAGAGTCCTTGACCCTGTGGGTGAGAGGAGAAACCCAGGAGGGACCGGGCAGGCGTGTCGGCCTGGAGGTGGCACTGGGAGGCTATTGACAGTCTGGGCTGGAGGCAGTGAGGGCCCAGATCGGGGTGTCCATGGTGAAGCTTTGTAAAATGCTACCAGGCATCAGGCCTGGGGACGGGAGCAGTGGAGGAGACCAAGGAGGCAGAGTGTGTAGGACGTAGGAAGCCTCGAAGCCGAGAGGTGGAAGGGAGGAGGGAGAGGTGGAGATGGGGAGCAGGAGCCTGAGGAGGGGAATGTCGTCGAGAGAACCGTCGGTGGAAGGTTGGAAGGAGCTGGCTGTGCTTGTCTGGGTGCGGTTTTCACCGGGTGTTTGTGTATGGGCAGAGGAGGATGAGGAGGGCCGTGGATTAGGCTGTGAATGTGCTGCGGGAGGCCTGGCGCTGAGCTACGAGCCAGAGTGTGTGGGTCTGGAGCTAAGGAAGAGTCGGGGCCGGAGCAGGGGGCCAGCTGGGTTCTCATACGGGGGTGAGTGAGCTTCGGGCAAGGAGGGTGGAGGCGGAGGAGAGAGCAGCCCTGGTGGAGCTTGTCCGTGTGCTCCTGTTGTGACCACTGATAGCTCCATCATGTCACTTCTTCTCTACCATCTTTTTTTTAATTGATATATTAAAGTTGTGTCTGTTTGTGGTGTACAGAATGGTTGCGTTGATATACATCTCTGTCGTGGAATAGCTCAGTGAACCTAATTAACATACCTGTTACCCGACATGCCTTTTTTTGTGGTAAAAACATTGACAGTCTGTTCCCTCCGCAGTTTTCAAGTACCTACATCCAGTCCATTGTCGTCAACTGTCGTCAGCACGTTGTACAATTGACCACCTGGATAGTTGCTCCTATTTAACAGAAATTTTGTGTCCTTTGACCAACATCCACCCTTCCTGACCCCAGCCTCTGGTGACCATTTTGTTCTTTGCTTCTATGAACTTGACCTTTTTCTAGGTTCCACGGAACAGTGAGATGATGCTGTCTTTGTCTTTCCGTGCCCAGCTTGTATCACTTAATGTGGTGCCTTCCCGATCTGTCCATGTTGTTGTGAATAAGAGATTTCCTGCTTTTTTATGGCTGAATAGTATTCTGATGTGTGCATGTGAACCACCTTGACTTCACCTACTCCTCCACTGACGGACACCTTGGGTGATTCCCCCTCTTGGCCCTTGGGAATCGTGCCTCAGTGAACACCTTCGGTCTTTCGTCATAATTTTAGCAGCCTTCAAAAAGGTGTCACTTTGGAAGAATATGCCCAGGGCTGTAAGTCCACCCTGAAAAAATGGAAGGGCTTATTATTAAAGAGTGTATTATCTATTAGGGGACACAAGAGAAGCCTCCAGGCAGCACTGAGGCATCTTAAACTCACGGGTCGTTGAAGCTGAGGCGAGGTCCCCGTGGGAAGCTGTCTTCTGGGTCGCGTTCCCCGTGGCGGTGATTTATCAGTGCCGTTCCTGGCACAGCATTTAGTGTTTCTTCAGATCACAGTGTCGGTCAGTGAAACTCAGAAAACACAGAGTTTAGAAGATAGTAAGTCTGGTTCATCTGAGAGATGAGGGTTTTCTGGGAAGCGGGTAGGAAGCGGGTAAGCCTGGGTCCGAGTCTGCCCGCTGTGCGTTATGTGGGCAAGCTGTTAACTTTTTAAAAGTTTCCTCTTCTCAGATATGAAATGGAAATCACGACTAGCATTTTTCTGACTCTTTTAACTCTCAATCCTCATATTCAGATCCTGAGGTATAGTTACTGTTGTGATCGCCGTTGGCACAGAGAAGTTAAGTCATCTACCCAAGGCTGCACTCCGTATCAGTGGCAGGGCTGGGATTTGAACAGGCTGCACCAGACCCCGACCCTCCCCACCGCTCTGTACTGCCTCATTGTAGTCAGGTTAATGGGTGACACGCAGGAGGGTCTTCCTTGTGGTACTGGATGTGGACTTGAGGTTCCCTAAGTGGTATCAGTGGTTGTCGCAGATGGTTGACGTGGCGGGGCTCTGGGTTGGCCTTGACAGGCCTAAGGGGTGTGATCTTGCTGTCTGCACAGCCAGTTTGAATCTGCCCTTTTCACAAGAGATGAACTGGGTTGACCTGGTCTACCTTCGGGTCTGCCTCCAGAACTTAAGAGGACAGACAGACGTCTGAGACCTTGAAGTGGGTGGGGAGGGGTGATCGAGCACTCCTATCCCTGCCTGTGACGGTGCACATACGCAGTCAGTTGTTGCTAGGGAGGCCTGCTGTGTGGCCCCTGCCTGCGAGCCGGGACACACCCCCGCAAGGTGGCCCCCCCGACGGCACCCTCGCCTGCGCAGGAGGAGGCACATAGCTCAGGGTGTTTCTCCACAGCCACCGCCTCGCCGCAGGATGTATTCCCATGCCAGGCAGAGGCCGGGGGCCCCGTTGGCCTGGCTTTCTACGGCCGTGTCCATCCTCACAATTAAATGCTTGCAAAGATGACATTTGAGGGAATTAGGATTTTGAGTTCTTTCCATTTCCTGGCCCAGTGAATCACTCTGGGAGAAGTCATGATGTTATAAATTTCATTAGAAGTGTAAATCACAGAAGAACAGTTCCTTGACCTCAGCAGTTTATAATCTGTATGAGTCATAAATAAAAGCAATGTTAAATAAAACCCAACCAGTGAAGGCGGGCAAAGGCAGGGTGGGCCAAGGGGAAGTTCTGCTCAGGCAGAATTGTCTTTCTCCCAGAGGGCAGAGGGCTACCGAATAAAAATGATTTTTTTTTTTAAAAGAAACCTTCGCCTTAAAAAGCAGCAAACATATATTGAGTGCCTACTGTACACCAGGGTGTATTTGGAGCTTGAGAAGGAGACTCTCAAGCAAAGAGGAATCATGGTATGGATAACTGATATGCAAGTATACAGCACGGGGGTCACAGAGAAATTGTCACCCCTGAGGACTTGGGACCTGGGTGACAGTGAAGAGTGAATGGAAGTGTGCAGGCATCTGAAACAGGGCACCACAGTGGTGTGAGCACCTTGGTGATCAGGGGTTCCACAGGAGGAGGATGGGGAGAAAAGGAGGCTACAAAGGGGTTCCAGAACCAGGTGTGGCGGAGGCTTGGGGTCAACGAGGACAGAAGTGTAGAGGTGCCAGATAGATACATCAAGGCAGCAGACATCAGAGGAAGGAGGGGTTCTCTTTCTATAAGTGAAAACCAGCAGGACCGGGGCAGAGTCAGGGGACACGCTGGCCGCACTAGCGTTCCTCCCACCCTCTGTTGGAATCGGAGCAGGGAAGCCGTTGGTCGCAGGGGAGCCGGGTCACAGTCAGAAGGTTGCAGGGTTGGCAGAGTTGGAGGGTGAGTTTCGTGTGACGGCAGAAAGAACATCCCGTGGGGAGTTTGAGGGTGGGGGTGTCTGTTGATTGAAATCAGAGCCAGCAGAAATGTCAGGAGCAGCAAAGAGAAGTCAGGAATACGCAGGGGAATGGCACCCTGAGAGCCTGCAATTCAGGGCACGGCCAAGGATGGCAGGGGCTGAGCCATGGTGGGCCTAGAGTTCTGGAGCTTATCTGGGACAGAGTTTCCCAGAGTTTCCCTCCGGTGGGGGCTTTGGAGACTGGGGGCTTACACAGCATTCAAGAGACAGTCTTGGTCAAGTGTGGACACTGAGCTTTTTTTTTTTTTTTTTTTTTTTTTTTTTTTTTTTTTTT